TGCACCTGGTTAAGACAGATCATCTCACCCTTGAAACGAATCTTAACGACCGAATCCATGAATCTCAGAGACTCTGTGCCCAGCCTTTCCTTGCACAGCACCTCATTTGGAAAATATTGACAGGGCAGCTTTCCAAGGTAGATAAGGTCTGTGGTCATAAATTCACCTTTGAAAGACTGTTTGCCAGGCCTTGGCTGAATGTGAATGAGAGAAAATCACAGTCGTTTAATAAAAGGGGTTTTGTTGGGACCAGGACTCTGCCTCGTGCCTTTTGGGGAAGCCGAGGTCAGAACAGAAGATCTCCTAGGACAGTGATGGCTAACCTGTTTCCCATCGCGTGCCAAAAGCGATGGGAGTGTGTGGAGGTTGTGCACGCGTGTGCCCACACCCATAGTTCTATGCACCCTCCGCCTGCTTTTGTCGCACGATCGCACGGTGGACCCATTTTTCACCCTTCCCAGGCTCCAGAGGCTTTCTAGGAGCCCGGGGAGGGCAAAAACGGCTTCCCCTGACATCCCCCTCCACCGCTTTTTTCCGACTTCCTGTTTACACGTTGGGCCATTTTTTGCCCTCCGGAGGCTTCAGGGAAGCCACCCAAAGCCCCCGGAGGGCGAAAAACGACCTAACGCACAAATGAAGTTCAGGAACGGACTTCCGGGTTGCCTGTAGGGCCGTTTTTCTCCCTTCCGTGTGCCACTGCCATCACGGCCCTGTACCATTTCAGACAGGTGTCTGTCTTCTTAAAAACCTCCAGTGATGGAGCACCCATAACACCGTGGCCCATTCTCCTCAGGCCAACTCGCCGCGGGACAAGAATCAACCCTAAGTATCGAAGAAACGGTGCTATAGAATCATGAAAGCAAGGAAGCCAAAGGAGGGACAAAACGAAATGGGAATGACGAAAATTAAAATACGTTTTAATTTTTTTTTTTTTTAAAAAAACCCCACATTAAATTGAATTATTGAATTGTCCTCTGGCGAGTTGGCCGTGGAGAGTTTTGTCCCTTTCAGGGAGTTGAGCCACCTCTTCCTGCCTTCTGCACGTCTGGGTGAGAGTCATCCTACAGCTCAGTGTTTTAATCCGTTTAAAAAATATTTAATAAAACGGGCCTTTCAGCCTACAATAAGGTGCTGGTTCAGAAAGACACGTGGTCTTTAGTTTCAGATTGCGTCTTCCGTTTTCGCTCTTATCTTTATTCCACAGACCCGCTCTCGCCAGTCGGTTACCCGGGGCTACCTGTTACGGGAGGCTCTTGCTGCCCTCCGTCGAAGGAAGGACGTCAAAGGTTGGTTTCGAACGCTTCTGCAATCTTCACCACTTCTTCGTCGTGCTTGTCTCCGTCAATGACCTCCTCCACTTCTTCGACCGCTTCCAGCCGAGGAGCTACGTTGGACACAATGGTTTGTTTGGATTCGCTTTTGAGGGTCTTCTCCCGTTCGGACCGGTGCTCTGTTTTTTGCTCGGCCGTGCTCCGCGAGGTCTCCCCGTTCTTCCCCACGGACGTGGCCGACACCGCTCTGATTTTGCCAGGCTGCATCCATATGTGACTTAAAACCTCCTCAATGCGCAAGCGCCGGGTTACATCCGGCTGAAGCATGCGATAGATGAGATCTTTGCATTCAATGGTCAGGTTTTTGGACTTGGGGAAATGCACCCGATGCTCCTTTTGCAATCGTAACATTTTCCGGATGTTTGAATCGTCGTAAGGCATGGAGCCACAGACCATGATGTAGAGGATAACACCCAGACTCCACATGTCGTAAATTTTGGGCTCGTAAGGGATTCCCTGCAGAACCTCCGGGGCGGCATAAGCGGCGGAACCACAGAAAGTTTTGCTGTAGATAACTTTGCCGTCTTCGTCCCGGAGCAGGCGTTTGGCAAAACCGAAGTCCGAAAGTTTAATGTGGTAATCTTTGTCTAGGAGAAGATTCTCGCATTTCAAATCCCGATGCACGATGTCGCTGTCGTGGCAGTACTTAATAGCGGTACACAGTTGACGGAACATCTTGCGCGCGATGTCCTCGGGCATCTCCCCTTTCAGCTTGATGAACTCCAGCAAGTCGCCCTGGATGCCGAGCTCCATCACGATGTAGACTTTGCCATTGGAGGTCTCGAAGATCTCGTAGGTTTTGATGATGGAGTGGTGGTTGACTTTGGCCAAGATGTCTATTTCCCGTGGGAGGAACCGCTCCAAGAAATCGGGAGGCGCTTTCTTCCGGTCAATGATTTTGATGGCTACATCGAACTTCAGCCGTTCCGAGTAGGCGGATTTCACTTTGGCGTAGGACCCTTCCCCTAAATTCCCACCCATGATGTAGCCCCTCTTTTTAAGGATAGCAGCATCGTCCATGATGCTGTAGGCTGTGGTTATGAGAAGTTTGGTCACATGGTTGACGTAGGCGTTCAGCCATTTATTGTCCGTTCCATGGCGTGTGATCATCAGGAAATGATCCGTTTCCTGCCTTGAAGGCTGATTGGAATGGAACCTTGGCCATTGTTTAAAGGATGCTGTTTCCATGTGACGTCATAAAGCTGAGAGAAATACTGGGCCAGTGGATCTCCATTGTTTGGACCAGGGTAACCTCCAAGCCGATGGCAAGAGAGCATTCTTGCTCGGCCTCATTGGGGTGAAGGGACAGAAGGGGGCAGTGGTGAAATTCAATTTCTGTTTACTACCAGTTTTGTGGGCATGGCTTGGTGGGTGTGGCGTGGCTTGGTAGGCGTGACAGGGGGAGGATATTGCAAAATCCCCATTCCCACCCCACTCTGGGACCAGCCAGAGGTGGCATTTGCCGGTTCTCCNCAGATGAATACCTGTTAGGCAGATATTTATTTATTTTTTGCTATTTTCCTCTCCAAAAACTAAGGTGTGTCTTATACTCTGAAACATAAGGTAAGTCTAAGACTCTTCAGTGCTATTGCAGCCCATCTCTCCGCAAGCGTTATAGATACATAACTTTACATCTTTAGAGTTATCTTTAGAGCTATAAAGACTTATTTTTCTTTATAGTTTTTTTAAAAATCTCATTAAAATCAGAGCAGTCAATCTCAGCTCCCCACAGCTTAGAGGATCTGATCTTTCAAAGAACTTGTGCTTCTTAGTGTGTCTGGATTTTTTCTTTCTTCCTTGTCCCCCCAAATGACATTTCCTTTATTCTTCAGGAGAAGCGGAGGAAGAAGAAAACAAAGACGCCCTGCCGTGCTTGGACAACTTCTTGGCCAAACACACCAGCGAGGATAATGCGTCCTTCGAGCAGATCATGGAAGTGGCCGAAGAGAAGGAGAAAGCGAAGCATTATTGGCTTTACGAAGCCGAAGAGGAATTCGCTCAGGTAAGGAGCAGCTTTGGAGCCAGGGTGAAGGGATTGATCCTCCCTTGGTCAAAGAAAAGAGGCTTTTTAAAATATATATATTTTAGATTATTATTTTTTTGTTCCGCATTTATTAAAGACCCGGAGAGGAAGGGATTGGCCCAAAGTCACCCAATTGGCTTCTATGTCGAAGGCGGGACTAGAACTCACCGTCTCCTGCTGATTGACCCAAAGTCACCCAATTGGCTTCTATGCCGAGGGTGGGACTAGAACTCAGTGTCTCCTGCTGATTGGGCCAAAGTCACCCAGCTGCCTTTCATGCCTAAGAACTCACTGTTCCCTAGTTTCTAGCGTGGTGCCTCCTCCACCACCAGCTGGCTCTCTAAACTGGCTTTTCTTCTATGGAAAGATGACAGTAGTGCCATGTCATTCCTTTTCAAAAGCAGACAGTTTTACGTTGTAGAAAAGTAATACCGCCTTATTCTGCACAACTGACAGCACGTGGTTTCCGAACGTCTTTTGTGCAGCTACCCAACCGAATGCTTTCCAACTAATAAATAACAATTAAAAAAAAACTGGAAAAAATTCCTATTTTCTCCCAAGACACCTAAAACAATTCTGAGCCCAGCCCGTGCGCCCGAGAAAGTGACATGCACACATCACATCATCCCTTTGGCTTCGCATTATTAAAACCTCACGGCCCTTCCTTGGCTCCCGGAAAGCCATGTGCAATTATCTCTGTGACATAANTTCCCACCCCACTCTGGGACCAGCCAGAGGTGGCATTTGCCGGTTCTCCAAACTACTCAAAATCTCCACTACTGGTTCTCTGAACTACTCAAAATCTCCACTACCGGTTCTCCAGAACCTGTCAGAACTTGGATTTCACCCCTGGAAGGGGGACTCATCAGATGACTCCAAGCTGGCATGAATAGCCAATACTCCAGAAGATAGTCTCAAGACCCAGAAGAATCTTGACAAACTTGAACATTGGGTCCCATCTAACAGAATGAAATTCAATGTAGACAACAATTAAGGTTTTATACATTGAGGCAAGAAAAACCAAATGCAAAGCTATAGTGTAGGTGGTACTTGGCCCATTAGTAGTAACTCCAAGAGGGATGTGAACAATTGCTTAAATATGAGTAAGAAGTATCCTGCAGCTGCTAAAAAAAACACAGAATTCTAGGCTGCATTAACAGAAGGATAGAATCAAGATCATGTGAAGTGTTGATAACGCTTTGTAATGCCTTGGTAAGGCCACATTTATCCAGTTTTGGTCGCCACGATGTAAAAGAGATGTTGAGACTCTAGAAAGAGCGCAGAGAAGAGCAACAAAGATGATTAGGGGACTGGAGGCCAAGACATATGAAGAACGGTTGCAGGAATTGGGCATATTTAATGAAAAGATGGACCAGGGGTGACATGACAGCAGCGTTCTAATCTCTCGGGCTGCCACAAAGAAGAGGGAGTCAAGCTATTCTCCAAAGCACCTGAAGGCAGGACAAGAAGCAATGGGTGGAAACTAATCAAGGAGAGAAACAATCTAGAACTAAGAAATTTCCTGACAGTGGGAACAATCAGCGGAACAACTTGCCTCCATGACTTGCTCCAACAGAGGAAGTTCTAAAGAAGAGATTGGACAACCACTTGTCTGAAATGGTACAGGGTTTCCTGCCTGAATTCGGGGCTGGATTAGAAGACCTCAAAGGTCCCTTCCAACTGTTATTCTGTGATAGTGGAGAGAGATACTGAGTGAATTGGGCTCCATTGCTGGGACCCATATAACCTCCAAGCCAATGGCAAGAGCAGAGGTGGTATTCAGCAGGTTCTGACCAGTTCTAAAGAACCGGTACTGGAAATTTTGAGTAGTTCGGAGAACCGGCAAATACCACCTCTGACTGGTCCCACCCCCATTTATTATCTTCCTCCTGAGTCTCAGCTGATTGGGAGGAAATGTGGATTTTGCGGTATCCTTCCCCTGCCATGCCCACCAAACCATGCCCACCAAGCCACTCTCACAGAACCGGCAGTAAAAAAATTTGAATCCCACCACTGGGCAGGAGCACTCTTGCTTGGCCTCATTGAGATAAGCTATCTTTAAATGTTTATAGGGATTTTAAATAAGAGCTCATCCATGCTGTTTTGCTTGCTTTTAAATTCTGGCATACTCCGAAGAGAACGACACTGCAATGTCCCTTGTGAAAATATCTTGATTTCCTGCAAATTGACTTTCTTACATTCGCTGTTTTCTTGATTGGGTTTATAATGATGGGGAGGAGAATTACCTCCCGGTATTTGCTCAAACTCTGGATTACTTTCTCAAGATTTAATTTGGCTTGCTGGTAAATTCTGAGAAGAATTGGTGAAATATGTCCAAGATAAGCGCTAATCTCCATTGTTAAATTATTCTGAAATAATACACCAGATTGTAAAAGTGTCCTCAAATTTGTGACAAACATTAAGAGCAGAACAGAATGACAGGTCGAAGGGATCTTGGAGGTCTTCTAGTCCAACCCCTACTGAAGTAAGGGGGCCCTATAGTACATCTTTGAATCAACCATTTCATCACTTATCTTTAAGCAACTATAGTTCTTTGAGGTGAAGAACTATAGTAAAAGAAACACAGGGTTATTTTTTTCCAAGGGTCTCTGCTTTCATTAAAATTGCAAATAAATCAAATTATGTCTGTTTTTTGGGGGTGGGGAGGGGCGGATTGCGAGAGCCATGAACCCAGACAAATAAAAGCATAAAATGAATTTTTAGGTGCATTGTTGGGACTGCCATCATATTAAGGTAAAAGTAAAGGTTCCCCTCAAACATGTGCTAGTCGTTCCCAACTCTAGAGGGCGGTGCTCATCTCCTTTTCAAAGCCGAAGAGCCAGCACTGTCCGAGGATCTCTCTGTGGTCATGTGGCCGGCATGACTCAACGCTGAAGGCGCATGGAACGCTGTTCCCACCAAAGGTGGTTCCTATTTTTTCTACTTGCATTTTTATATGCTTTCAAACTGCTAGGTTGGCAGAAGCTGGGACGAGTAACAAGAGCTCACTCCGTTACGCGGACGCTAGGGATTCAAACCGTCGAACTGCCGACCTTTCTGATTGAGAAACTCAGCGTCTTCGCCACTGAGCCAGCAGGACCACAAATTTGGATGAATTTTAAAAGAGGAGTAGATCAGGGGTCAGCCTCCAATGGCCCTCAGCATTCATGGTTCTGGGCTCTCTCTTAAATACTGAATAACACTGGAGGAGAAAAATTAGCTCACAATATGTGTGAACTTTCATACTGCAGTTCAAATAAACTCCACTTACCGTATTTTTTGGAGTATAAGATGCACCTTTCCCCCCCAAAAAGGGGGAAAATCTGGGTGCGTCTTATACACCGAATACAACATTTCTGTCCTAGCAAAACCCCTTTGCAAAAATGGACGTGCAGAGGGTTTGGGAGGCTTGCAAAGTGCTCCTGGAGGCTTGGGAGGGTGGAAATGAGCAAAAAACGGGCCATTTTTGCTTGTTTTTGGCCAGGCTCCAGGAGCACTCTACAAGCCTCCCAAAGCTCTGCATGCCCCCCCCCCCTTTTTGTTTGCAAAAAACGCATGCAGAGCGTTTGGGAGGCCTGCAGAGTCCAAAAACTTTTCCCCCCAAAAAATTACCTCTTCAAAATCATGGTGCGTCTTATAGTCTGAAAAATACGGTACATTGCATAGGCTTAAAATTTCTCAGGGCTTGCATCACCTTTGTGTGGTGTTGTGCCTTCATAAATTGCCTTTCAGTCTTGCAAAAATCATGCGGTGACACCAACCTCATCTTCTCTTTGCTCAGCCCCAGGAACAGTGTCTGAATGTTCTGTGGTACTTTTTCCCAGGCAGTGAAGTCGCTGTTGGTTATTGGTAACTTGCTGTTGAGAAGGAAGTGCTTCTCAAACTGACCCCTTTAAAACTCTTTGAAGTTCTCAGGTCATGGTTGTCCCAAAGGTGCTTTTTCAAAAAAGGCAACTGGACTTTCTTGACTCCCCCCCCCCCNGGTGAGTTATAGTCCCACCTTAGCCATGAAAGCTGATTAGGTGACTTTGAGCCAATCACCAGGAGACGGTGAGTTCTTGTCCTGCCCAAGCTATGAAAGATAGCCAGGTGACTTTGGATCAATCACCAGGAGATGGTGAGTTATAGTCCCACCTTAGCCATGAAAGCTGGTTGGGTGATTTTGGGCCAATCACCAGGAGTCGGTGAGTTCTAGTCCTGGCTTACCTATGAAAGCCAGGTGAGTGATTTTGGGTCAGTCACCAGGAGAAGGTGAATTCTAGTTCTGCCTAAGGTATGAAAGCTAGCCGAGTAATTTTGGGTCAATCACCAGGAGAGGGTGAGTTCTAGTCCTGGTTTAGGCATGAAACCATCTGGGAGACATTGGGCCAGTCACTCTCTCTCAGGGCAGCCCATCTCACAGGGTTGTTAAGGGGCAGAAGAAGATGTGTTTGATATGCTCACTGCCTTGAGTGAAAATAATAAGGCAGGATATGTAGAAAAAATGGGGACCACCTTTGGTGGGAAGGGAACAGCATTCCGTGCGCCTTCAGGGGCGTTGAATCATGCCGGCCACATGACCACGGAGATGTCTTTGGACAGCGCTGGCTCTTCATCTTTGAAACGGAGATGAGCACTGCCTCCTAGAGTTGGGAACGACTAGCACATAGGTGCGAGGGGAATCTTTTGCTTGGTGGGTGATCCAGCTCTCTCTTTTGTGAGGCTGAGGTTGCTTTGCTCTTTGCTCCCTTCTGCCCTTTCGCTAGAGAAATGGGCCAGGAATTCATGCTGCGTCCCCAATTTGCATGGTTGTGAGTAATACAGTGCTGTGTCTTTTCAGGGGTTCCTGATGAGGAAGAGGTGTTTAAAAAGCCACGCGAGGTTGCCCACAGGAACACCCGTTTCTTGAAGGATCCCTTTAGCCAAGCAGTGAGCAAGAGCCAGCTTCAGCAAGCAGCTGCCCTCAATGCTCAGGTGAGGGCATACAGTTTCCCATGTCCACTTTATTTATAAGAGGGCTGTTTCTGGTTGCCTTGAACCGGCCAATGAATCATAGCAAATAGAACGAGAAATAAAGGCAGAATGGCAAGGGAGGGAGGAGGCGGAGGAGCAGAGGAAATGCTGTAAAGGAAGGAAGCAAGGAAGGAAGCAAGGAGATGGAGGAGCAGAGGAAATGGTGAGCAAAGGAAGGAAGGAAATAAGGTGGAGGAAGAGAAATGGTAAGCAGGGGAAGGAAGGAATTGATGGAAGGAAGGAGATGAAGGAGGAGAAATGGTAAGCTGGGGAAGGAAGGAGAGGAAGGAAGATGAGGGAAGGAGAAGAAGGAAGGGCATGGAGAAGCAGAGGAGGTGACAAGCAAAGGAAGGAAGAAAAGAAAAGTAAGGAGATGGAGGAGAAAATAGTAAGCAGAAGAAGGAAGGAATTGAGATGGAGGAGGAGAAATAGTAAGCAAAGGAAGGAAGGAGATGAGGGAAGGAGAAAAAGAACATGGAGAAGCAGAGGAAGTGATAAGCAAAGGAAGGAAGGAAAGAAGGAAGGAGATGGAGTAGGAAATAGTAAGAAGGGGAGGAGAGAAAATGGTAAGAAATGGTAAGCAGAGGAAGGAAGGAAAAGAAGAAAGAAAGAAAAGAGTTTCTGAATGTTCTAGTTTAACTGGGGGGGGGGGGAGTTGGATCCTTTGCTTTAATTCCATTTACCGAAATGTTTGTGTGTGTTTTTTAACAGCCTGAGCCTTTTTAGCTGTTTCCTCCCACTTTTGCAGGGTGGCAGGAGGCTCCTTTAAAGCACTCTGTAATTAACGCTAAGCATGATTCCCTCCCTTGTTAATCCCAGTACAAACAAGGCAAAGTGGGGCCCGATGGGAAGGAGCTCATCCCCCAGGAATCTCCGAAGGTGAACGGATACGGGTTTGTGGCCACACCTTCCCCCGCTCCGGGTAAGAAAGAAAATCGTTTTTGTTGTGTTATATTTTACACACACACACACACACACTCACACACTCACTCCAGCTTCCCCAATCATCATCATCTCCTCCTCCTCCTCCTCCTCCTTTCTTCTATAAAAATGTGTTTGTGTGTTTGTGTATTCCAGCATAACTCTGGAACACCTCGAGCAATTTCAACCAAACTTGATACACAGATGACACTCTCTGAAAACAAATACTATGGGGGGTAAGACACCCCTAACAACCTTCGGGGTGTGTTCTGTTAAAATACAGCCTGTTGTGCCTTAAAAAGGCTTCTACTGTACTGCTGTAAAACGGCTTCTACAGTACAGCGCAATGGAGTTGCCATGGTAACGGCTGCACAGTACTCCACCGGATGTCTTTTGACAGAACTAGTATTTAAGCTCTGGTTCTATAATTTTTTAAAAAAAATAATTCGCCACCTTTCATATCTATGTAAGAACAAAAGTATTGTACTAATAAAGGAGAATATTTGTAGCTTGGGGTTGACATGAGAGGTCCTTGGTGCTCTCTTGAGTTTGGTGATTTTGTTGCAGATGTTTCATGACCCAAACATCATCAGTGCTAAAGGGGGGGGGGGGTTGCTACTGATGATTTACCTAGTTTGGGTTATGAAACATTTGCAAGAAAACCACCACGCTCAGAGAGCACCAAGGACCCCACAGTCCTTCTCTCTCTCTCTCTCTCTCTCTCTCTCTCCCTCTCTCTCTCCTCTCTCCCCTCTCTCCCCTCTCTTTCTGTCTGTCTCTTTCTATCTTTCTATCTCCAGACCCAATCCCTTCTAGCACTGGTGATACTCCCTAGTTGAGTTATGAAACATCTGCAATAAAACCACCAAGCTCAGAGAGCACCAAGGATGCTACAGTCTTCCTTCTTCTCTCTCTCTCTCTTTGTCTGTCTGTCTGTCTCTATCTTTCTATCTCCAGACCCAATCCCTTCTAGCACTGATGATGTTCCCTAGTTGAGTCATGAAACGTCGGCAAGAAAACCACCAAGCTCAGAGAGCACCAAGGGCCCCTCAAAAGGACTGTTTTTAATTTTTTAGGATTCAGTATCTTCTCTTTTGTAATAATTTCTCTTCCAGCGGATCTGTAAGGGGAGATGTCCCTCGCCCAAAATATTTGAATCAAGCGCACTAGTGTTTAGGTGGGCGAGCCAGTGGTTTCCTGCCACATCAAATTCACTGATTGGCCAATGTGTCTCTCTAGGCGTGAACGACTCCCCTCTTATGACCTGGGGGGAGATAGAAAGCACCCCATTGCGGTTGGAAGGTTCGGACACACCTTACGTCGACCGGACGCCAGGGCCGGCTTTCAAGGTATTTAAAGTTCTTAAAACATCCCCTTTGAGTCCTATCCCTATGCAGGTAGTCCTTAAATGAGGACCACAATTTTCTGGCTAAATGAGATGCTTGTTAAGTGAGTTTTGTCTCTCTTTGTAAAACTTTTCTTCTTTGCCACAGTTGATAAGTGAATCACTTTAGCTGTTAATTTTAGTAACACGGCTTTCCCAATTAACTTAAATAGTTGAGTCAGTGCAGCAAACACCTGGCTCTTCACCTGCCCTGATTTGGACGGCACTTTTTGTGGAAGACTTTGGGAAAATAGGTTCTAGGGCTGCTCTAGACTGTTGTGGCCTGGAGCTGACAGATTTGGACAGTGAGGAGGTTGGGGAGGAACATGGGCCAGTCCTGGAGTCTGGGAAAGGCTCTGATGAGGGCTCTGTGTCGGAGGCAGAGATGGGGCCAGGGACGTATGCCAGTTATGAGCTGCCTTCAGAGTCAGACATCAGTGAGGCAGACGAACAGCTGGTTCCTAGTGTGCGCATGCGCAGAGTTGCCAGACGAAGGGAAGAACTAAAGAACAGGGGTTGACTTGGGAGTAAGGCCACAGGTGGACAATGA